TGAGGGAATTATTACACCACATCAGGCCCCTCATACACCATCTGTGAGGGAATTATTACACCACATCAGGCCCCTCATACACCATCTGTGAGGGAATTATTACACCACATCAGGCCCCTCATACACCATCTGTGAGGGAATTATTACACCACATCAGGCCCCTCATACACCATCTGTGAGGGAATTATTACACCACATCAGGCCCCTCATACACCATCTGTGAGGGAATTATTACACCACATCAGGCCCTCATCATAACACCATCTGTGAGGGAATCACTACATCATCAGGCCCCTCATTTACCATCTGTGAGGGAACTACTACATCATCAGGCCCCTCGTAACACCATCTGTGTGGGAATTACTACACCACGTCAAGCCCCTCATAACACCACCTGTGAGGGAGTTACTACACTACGTGTCTGCTGTTCAACACCTCAGCTCACATGATCTACGTGTGTAAACATTAATCTTTATGTTCACTGTATGTTCCTTCACCTGTCTCAAATGAAGGCTTTTGTTAAACCACCAATGTATGTAATAAGTCATTTTATGTCCAATGTATATTTTCAGCCTTCTGGCTGCAGAACTTTTTCAATAAACCGTATTATTATTATTATTATTATTATTATTATTATTATTATTATTATTATTATTATTATTATTATTATTATTATTATTATTATTATTATTATTATTATTACTACTACTTTTTTTTTACGTGGCCTCCAGCCTCCCCCAATAGCCACACCTTCGCCACCATTTATTTACCTTAATATTAAATATCCTAATACATAAGAAGCTATCCTATCTGTGTTAAATTAGTTGAGCCGCAGATCTATGCGGCATTCAGTGACTGTAGCCTCATAGTCAATATCTGCAGCAGTTGTCAGAGTAGGGGCGGAAGCTCTCGTTCCCCTGAGGCAGAGCAAAGCCGACCGAAGGAGAGAGAAGGACAGTCGACATCTCATCCAGGCTGTAACATAACTTCTGGGCTGCTGCTTCTGTTCGGAGATCAGCTCCGCGAGTCTGGCGTAGAAACATCTTGCACTTGGGCCCATCCCACCCGAGGTTGTGAACACTAGAGGAGTGAAGCTGCCTTGATCAACGTTTTGTATTCTCTCCCCATATGCCCTTCTCTTGTCGTTCTCGTTCCTCCTATGCGCAGCATCGAGAGCTAGGTTACGGTGACAAACGGCCATGGGATCAAAAATCCTGATGTCGAAGAAAGCTCGCTGTCCTCGCGTCCAGAATCCTCGAGCACTGACGTCCACACGGGCTTCGTTAGAAGTGTTTGAAGTCCTATGTTGGAAGATCTCGCCATCCAGTGGAAGGAGGGTCGGTTCTACCATGACGTCCCGGCAGATTTCCTTCAACATATTTGCTGTGAGATCCCTTACCTCGTCATGCCTCATGCATATGAAGCCCCCCTTCTTGCAGACCATGGCGTGATCGCCATCATAGGGAGAGCCACACACGCATTGGGAGGGCAAACCGTCTACTGGCCAACCGTACCTTAGAGCAATGGCATCTGTAAATTCTTGTTTGTTAAGGCTGAAACCATTTGCCCTTATCGGTAACGTAGTTAACCAGTTCGAGGCGCCCACCTCCTGCGCTATAGCAACTTTTTTTGTCAAATTTTCTGGAACCAGCAGCAATAGTTGCTGCAACATGTCATTTTGGCAGTGCTGCCGATCTGTTGTAATGGACCTACGGATCTTATTAACTTCGCTGGTGTCCACTTCCCCTGTTGCATTCTGGGCTATTATGTGGTCAGTGAGGGCTGCCGTGAGCTTAAGTGAATTTTGATGTTCAGAGTCAGCAATCTCCTCTGGATTAGTTAGTCCCATCCCTCCCAGTCTTGGTGGAAGTGCAAGAAGTGTTCTTTCTGCTCGGGTTAAGTCAGGGTGTTTCACTAGTTTGGGAATGAACTTGACACTGATTGCTTCTTCCAAAGGGTGGAGGAGGGGTCCGATCTCAGGGATGGTACGCATCAGGTAGTTCCAACGATGCTTGACTCCATGGGTGAATGCTGCAAAGGCCGCATGTGGCTCTGTGTTAGCGATCTCCGATAGAGCTTGGATTTCGCTAACCCACTCATTCACCTTTCCCGATACGTACTGAGTCTTGAAGTCCGTAGTGCCAATCACTGCGCCTAGATGTCTTTGGCCGTCCTTAGTTATTTTGACCTCACTTTCGCCGAAAACCTCCAAAGCCCGATCATAATGATCTGGCTTCACGATGAGGAAGGATTTGCTGGCGTTTGGGTGGTACCCTATTTGTGGACCTCGCGATGTTACCAGGTCCCACCACTTTTTGATGTCCTCCACTTTTCCTGCTCCTGTGAGGTCATCAGCATATGCCACTTGTTTGACCCCAGTTGTTTCAAACTTTATTTCTTGTTGGAGCACTGATAGGCCTATTGCATACATTGCCATTGCAACGGGGTCCCCCTGTGTTGTTCCCTCAGTCGACTGTAGGATGGTATCACCTCGTAGAGCCTTGTTGTTTACTATGTAGAGGTCTGATGGATTCCTATACGAATTTTCAACATACATCGCAAAGCTAGGACACTTGATCTTGATGTTGTGCAGTGCAGCCTTGCGGTTAAGTATGTTGAATGCGTTTGAAGCATCCACCAGGAGAACGGCCTCACAATCACGCTGCTCGAATATCAATCTCATGGCGTGAATGGCCGCCTCCCCACCAGCCTGGTGGCCAGCACACACTTGTAGGTTCCCTGCTGCTGCCCTGACATCGTCCTTTACCACCTCCATTATGCACTTTCCGATAATCCGCCTCAGCACTTCCCCCACCCCTATAGGTCTACATCCTGGTTTCTTTTCCAGAGGAATAAGGCGGCAGGCCGTCAGGGCCTGGAGATGATGGCAGCAAGAGGATGCAAGCTTTCTTGCAAGGGCGGCAATGGCAGTGCAGAGATCGCTTGCTACAGGGCCAAACTTGTTAGTGCTGAGGATGACTCTCCAACCGTTTGCATCCAGACCTGAAGGGCCGGCTCCTCCACGAGTCTTCAGTGCCTTTTTCCACACCATCTCTCCTGTTATTTATTCGAACAGGACAGCATTTGGTGGGATATAGGCACCCTGGAGCCTGATGCCTTCATCTTCACTTGCAGGGGGATGTTTCTCTTTCAGTAGTTGTAAAGTCGCTCTGTTTATTGGCATCACCCCACCGGAAGATTCCTGAGTGAGAGATCTTACCGCGAGAGACACTTTTCCCACACGCATTTTGTTTCCAAATTTTCTTGCCACGTCATCGGTGTTTTGCTTTCCGTCACCCGTAGATTTTAGTCTCTCCTGCAGTGTTCTTGCTTCACATAGGAGATCATCTAGGGCCCCGGTCCGCCACATTGTCGATCTTCTCTTCATTGCTGCCACATTTTCTTTGTGCTTAGCCTTTGTGTGTGTCCTCTGACAAAATAGATGTGGTATTATTGCCAGTATTTGAAGAGCTACTACTACTACTACTATTATTATTATTATTGTTATTATTATTATTTTTATTATTATTATTATTATTATTATTATTATTATTATTATTATTATTATTATTATTATTATTATCATTATTATTATTATTATTATTATTATTATTATTATTATTATTATTTTTATTATTATTTCTCACGCACTGCTCACCAAACATCCTCGTTCATACCCACTATTTGCCACTCTACTTCTTTGCTTTATTTCTAACTGGTATGTAACATATTTGCTTATTTTTGTGTATTTATCTTTGGTGTTAAATTCTAAGTTGCTGCTAATTTTTGCGTCTTTGCTCCGTGTAGTTATTTGTGGTAGGATTTAACAATAAATAATTCCATGTTTTATGTTCAGTGTTTTTTTTTTGCTATGTGTTTAATAAAACCAAAGCTGTATTCAATTTTATTTGTCATGTTGAATTTTATACTGTTGTAAGTCAAGTCTTCGGTCTGACGATGACAAGAGATATTGTCCAAGCGTTACCCAACAAATGTTGTTGTTTATCCTTATGTTGGTGGTGGCATTCATCCTTCGTTTACGCTTCCCCCGAGGAGAGTCAAATATTTAAGTTATACTAGTCATGTTTTTTGATCTGACAGGTGGGTACTTGTAAGACCGGACCTACGGCCTAGAAAACAGTGCGTTAATGTTCGAAATAAGGCAAACAGGGTATTGGGTTTTATATCTAGAAGTGTAAGTAATAAGAGTGCAGAGGTCTTATTGCAACTATATCTTGCGCTAGTCAGGCCGCACCTCGATTATGCGGCTCAGTTCTGGTGCCCTTATTATTGAATGGATATCACTTCACTAGAGTCAGTGCAGCGAAGAATGACGAAAATGATTCCGGGACTTAGAAACCTTCCATATCAGGATAGGTTAAAGAAACTTAACTTGCATTCCCTAGAAAGACGAAGAGTGCGGGGAGATATGATAGAAGTATTTAAGTGGGTGAAAGAAATCAATAAAGGGGATATAGATAAAGTTCTTATAATATCCAAGCAGGATAGGACTCGGAGCAACGGATTTAAGTTGGATAAGTTTAGGTTTAGGAGGGAGATAGGAAGGAACTGGTTCACAAATAGGGTGGTGGACGAGTGGAACAAGCTTAGCAACTTTGTAGTAAGTGAAGGAACTCTGGAAAGTTTCAAAAGGAGGCTAGATAGATTCATGGATGATAGAGAGTCGTAGCAACTCTGGACAGGAGCTGCCCTGCACAGGCCAACCGGCCTATTGCAGACTCCTTATTTTCTCATGTTCTTATGTTCTTATGTTCTTATGTTCTTATAACCTAAACGTCCATTATTCAACATTAAACCGCTAATAAATGCTTTACACTATGTCCTGTGTGAATTCCTTTGTCACCTATTTAAAGTTTGACACATTACTGCTTCATGGTGTGTATAGTCAGATCGTGAAACAGATGTAGTAAATGGACCAAAACATCAGACATACAGCTTGACAAGTAAAGTAAAACCAATTAGAGTTTGGTGGTACTGACCCATCGACAGCTGTGGTGTTGGCAGGCACAGCATCAGGCAGAGCGGTGGTCGTCAACATAGTATCAGCAAGACGAGTGGTATTGTTGACGAGGCCGGTGACGGTGGCGTTAAGGAAGAGGGCAAGGTTCTCCGGGCAGCCCTCAGTAGACAGTGGCAGGCGGGGAGGCGAACCCCCTCCTCGCACAAATTTACCAATAACTACCCAAACACTGAAGATGAACGACAGTACGCACCCCACCACAGCTC